GGGAAGCCGGGCAACGTGCGTGTGCGCGCGCGTGTGTGTGCAGGATGGGTGTACACGCACACGATCCTGGGGATGGGTGGCAGGCATTGCTGTATACACACGCGCACACGTGGGTTGATCCTGGGGATGAGTGGTACACACAAGTTTACATACCCCCCCCACACACACGCACACAATCCTGGGAATGGGTGCTGCACGCCAGTGTATACATGCACGCACAATCCCAGGGAGGGGTGGCACACACGGGTGTACGTACATTCCCCACCCACTCACAAACCTGGGGGTGGGTGGCACACATTGATATATACACACACGCATGATCCTGGGGATGAGTGGTACACACAAGTGTACATGCGCCTTCCCCCCACACACACACAATCCTGAGGATGGGTGGTACACAAGCATGCACACACTCTCTACCTAGACAGCAGGTGCAGGTGACATGCACACACACATACACACTATAGCAATGCAGGGTGTGGGTGGTGGACACACCTGTGATACATGGTGTGGGTTGCATGCACATACACTAATGTGATACAGAGTGTGTGCACACCCACCCACATGCACACACTAATGCAATGCAGAGTGTAAGTGGCTCACACACTACTGTGATACAGGGTGTGGGTGACATGCGCACACACACTAAAGGGATATAGGGTGCGGGTTGGCACACATTAACATGATACAGGCTGTGGGTGGGTATGCATACACACACACACATGCGATGCAGGGTGTGGGTGGTGCACATACACAGTGTGGGTTGGTACACACACACACTGATGTGATGCAGGGTGTGGGTGACGCACACGCCAGTGTGATACAGGGTGTGGGTTGGCACTCATACACACTAATGTGATACAGGGTGTGGGTTGGCACAGTCATGCAATTTAAGGTGTGGGTGGCACATGCACACTCTACTGTGATACAGGGTGTGGGTGGCGCACACATACACCAATTTGCCAGGAGGGGTGGGTGGTGCGTACACACACTAAAGGGATACAGGGCATGGGTGGCAGACACTGATGCGATGCAGGGTGCGG